AAGATGCATTATGAATGCAAAAATGAAGGATATGCATGTACAAGTAAAATGTAGAGGGTAAAATATATGTGATTAAACCTGTGATTCTGGTAGGGAATCAAACTCATCTTCGTTTGGTGGAAAGAGGTAATGGTCAATGGACATTCCAACCTGCATACCAAACTGGAAAAAAAAAATCAAAATAATTACAAATATCAATCTTTAGTTTGAATTTTGGACCAAATTCCTCATTCATTGTTTCTCTTTTCAATAATGAATAGTTTTTTCATAGATCAGATCAAAATAATATTATAAATATATGGTATAGATCAGGCTCTGGGGACATATAACTCACTTTTGATATTAGTCTCACTTTTCCTCTATATATTTCTATTGTAAAAGTGAGACTGAGATCAAAAGTGACCTTGTCTAAGTGTAATGGGCCTGGTGCCTGATCAGTCTAATATTGTTCAATATATGGTTTCAGATTCAGATTTTTAAACTGAATTATATTTTTTCTTCCTAAAAATCTTTGTATAATTGTGTACATTCATTTTAGGAGGAAAATAACAGTGATACCTTAATTAAGTCCACCATCCACACAAGGGCTGCGAGAATTGTGGGCCAGGTGTGAGGTGAACCCAGAGCAAACATGGCCGTCTTGGAGATCATAAAAGGATAGCCCAGTTCCTTGAAGATTTTGGGAATTTCTTCCTCTGGTTTTTTCCCTATCCTGTATCTTGGAGTTAACATACTGTAGAGGAACTTAATAATAAAGATGTTATTACATGTAGTTGAACTTCAAATATGACTTACATTTAATAAAATGAATATGATTATTATTATGAATTCAGGATTTGTGTTATTAAAGCATCTATCTGCAATTGATAATTTTATATGCCGTCTTACAACTGGGTGAAAACCATGTTTATTTTCTCATTCACCATAACTGACACAAATATAAGGTTACATATATAATAGGGGTGGGACAATACACAGATCTTGCGATACGATACGTATCTCGATATTATGATAAACTATAAAACTATTTTTAAAAAGTTTTTTATTTCATTTTCTGTCTTGACATTAATCAACTGTTACATGATAAATTACAAAACTATGCAAAAGAATTAGTATTTTATTTCATTATTTTTTGTCTTGACATTAAATCAACAAATTATTCTTAGACTATATAAAATCATGTGTGCTTTGAAATTACTACTTGAAGTTCATCAATTTCATAGACTAAAACTTTACAAAAACAATAATACATGTACATATTATTGTTACTAAATTTCTGTAAAGAAGTTGTTTACAAACAGTTGTGTAGTTCATCAAAGAACACTGACTAAAATTTCATATAAAAAAAACAGCACATTTACATTATAATCAATTGCTGAAAGTCTGTAGCCTAGATGAGATTACAAAAAAGCACGAGATGGACTAACAAATGTTCTGGAAACGATACTTTCTATGTATAGGACGCTTCACATACTGAACTTTTCTTGTCCAATCTTCTGAGGCTGCTTAAAAGTGAAAACGTACGTTTTACCCTTAATCAACGACTTATTAGTTCTAAATTATGTTTTCAATATCATCATCATCTCTTCGCTTCGTACAAGCCGCCATTTTCCAAGGACATGTACTTTCATTTTCAATTTTTGGATAGGTCGTTCGTGTATCGTTTCGTATCGATATTTGAATGCTTGTATCGTAAACCGTATCTTAAAGGAAAATATCGATATGTATTGGTGTATCGGTATATCGTCCCACCCCTAATATGTAATAGACACTAAAATAAATCTGAAAAGTTGTGTAGATACATGTAGATTTCAAATGGACGGCAAGCTGTCTGTGAAAGTGTAATGTACAGATAAAATACATTCTGAACTAGGTTACAGTTTTGGATTATATTTCTCCCTAACTAAGAATAATGCTACTAAATTAAAACTTAAAAGGGTCATAAAATAAGAAAGTAATGTAATATCTTTACATATTACAGTAATAAAATTTATAAACATAACAGTAGTGACACCAAAAGAAAATAAATACCTCAAATATCTGAAAGAAATCCTTTCTTGGAGGAGCTTTGAGAATCTCTGGGGATAATTTGTGAGGGTATCCTTTTTCTGATAAAAACTGAAATAATTAAATTGCTATAACTATTTGCTGCTTTTGATATCAATAAACATGCCATTTCATGCATATATAAGAAATCTATCAATATTTACTATTAATAGGATACCCATTGTTCCAACCAATTTTATATAAATGTCTTTCTTTTAATAACATTGCAAACTGGAACTGATGTAGCTTTGCTTGAGTATTTATGTTTAATACATGACTTTACCTCTACTAGCTTTGCAACACATTTGGCTTGAAAGTTTCTGTCAGAAATTTTTCTAGGATCTTTTGGTATTCCATTCACCATTGGGACTCCCATGTGACTACTTCTACGCATCCTAAAAGAAGATTAAAGTTCAGGCAAAATTCTTACAATGAATTTGAATTTTTAAAAGTATATTAGGTTTCCCTTCCAACACATTTAATTAACAAAAGCATAGTCAACATATATATGATGATATCATCTGAGAATTTAATTCCAAAGTCAAGGTATCAAACTCAATTTCAATAAAAATATTGTATATCAGTTATGACAGTAGTTTTGAGATTAAGAATTAATCGATACCCTTTGTTAGGGGTCTTAGTTGGGCGGTCACCATGACTTCCAGCAGAACCTGCACTATATCTGTACCCAGTCAGCTTAGTTTTCTTAGAGGAGGTTGTGATCTTTGAGTTCTCCTCATTCCTCACCCTCAGTGGCATGGTCCCTCCCACAGAGGGGCGACCCCCTACTGATGACCTGGAGGCTGAGGAGGTCCGCTTGCTAGCACTGCTGTAGTGGGACGTGGACGACCGTCCCAGAGATGAGGACCTCCGCATGACAGCTGAAATAAACAATAGTTAAGATTCCTGGTTAACATGATGTTGTCTGGTTGTAAATGATCTCAGGGACCTATATACTAGTATATAGGTCCATGATGATCTCTTGCTCTTTCAGATTTGAACCTGCATTTTTTCACAACTTAGTCAAATTAAGAAGAAGTAAAACTTATCTAAAAACGGTTTTATAATTTACAAAAGAGAACTTTATTACATTACAGATGACACATACCTAAAAACAAGTCATATCATATATGTATCATCATAAAAAGAAAATATTTTTTGTAAAGAACACGATAAAGTTCGTCTATTTTCATGTTACATCTTTTACCCTCATAGCCCTAAAGGAAAATATAAAGTAAAAATGACAGAGAGTATATAATGAAGCATTTTTATCATGAATTGTAAAATAAAGGGATAATGTTATTAATGTACATACCACACTATTTGTTTACAAATTTATATACATTTCCGCTTTCGCGCCTCTTTCAAATACGCATGCGCAAGGTTGTGAAAAAAAGTTGAATAAAAACGTTTGATTTCCGTATTCAACTTGGCCTTAGGAACCCCGTTGGTTTGGCTATTATATTGCTTCCTACGGGACCTGTTTCAAGCTAGTAATTTGTGTAGATTACATCAATGATGTGATACTCATATTTATTCTATGATTATGTAAATATTCTGTATTATTTGCATTTTTATTATTATGCAAAAGCGGGTTCTTGATACTCAACTTGTTTTGGTTGATTTTTTTTGATAAAATATTTTTCCATCAGATCCTTGAAAAACTGGAAAATTTTAACCCTATTCAATTTACAAAGCAAAGTTACTAATTCTTACATGTAATAAGATAATTGCATTGTTGCTCAGTTATTGGGGGGGGGGGGGGTATCTCTTAGAAAAATGTCAGTAACAAAAATATCCATTAGATAGAATCATTGTGCGGAAGACAAAACACATCTTTTTCGGGGGAGTTGAAAGTTAAAAGTCATCTTCCTACGTCAAAGAAGGCTTCTGATCGACTCCACTGCCAGTGACTGACAGACTCCACATAATTTTGGCCCGTAGCTTTTTTCTGAGTATAGTCTTTTCCTCCTATAGTAAATCTTCAAGAGCTCTTTATATATATATATATTTTTTTTTTGGGGGGGGGGTATACTTAATTGTCTGATTTCTTTTAGATCTCCTTAATTTATTAATCGTTGCTATATAACCCGTATAAACAGGCCTGAATATGTATTGCCTTGGGCTGAGTTGGGCATATACATTTTAAAGTCTATATATGCAACATTTGGCAGTTTCTAACATCGATCTGGGAGATCAACAGAATTATTCTGTATACATCGGTGTTCATTTTGGTTTAAAATTAAAATTAAGTGCTGACGGTATAAAATTTTGTTCTGGTCATCTTTTAAATATTAATTTCAATAATAAAAATAAATCCAAAAATTGCTTGTTCTATCGCAACCGACTAGCTAAAAATAACCCGAATTAAACCTTTTTTGTAAAACTTCCAGGAAACGAAATAAATATGTTTTTTTTTTTTTAATTCGTTCAAAAATTCTGAAATTGTCAACGTTTTGTATTAATATCTTTATTTTTAATAGAATTTGAAAATTCAGCATTGAAGTTGAAATTTATTGGGGAAAGGATTTCCCCATGGCACTTTCTTACTAACTTTTTTTAGGCTAACACCCATTGAATTATTCAAGTGGCTGACTTTACCCAACTTTATCACCTCAGAAATGCTCCTTGTACTGGCTCACAGTAAAATGAAAGAAACTACACGTGACGAAAAGGGAATTGTTCATAACATCTTTACACGCGCCACGTAACGAACCACTCATAGGTTCAAGTTCCTTTATATTCTATTTTGGGGGGTCAATAACATAAAAGACAATTGATGTATTGTTTAAATTAAGTTCCAAAACGTTTCACGTACTAAAATAAATGGAGACAACTCTTGTTTTCTTAAAAGATATGTATTATGATTTATATTTTTAAATATATCTTTAAATATAAAACCTCTACTAATTTAATAAAAAAAATATTTTCTATTTAAACGAGAAACAAACCTTCAATAAATAAAATAGATCTTTATCATTCATTTGAAAAATTGAATTAAAATTGTGTTGTACTTATATTAAAAATTAACTACATAAGTAAAGTTTGCGACACGATAACTATTAAAAGTGTGAAAGAATAAATGAATTTCCTATCACGGTAAACTTGTAACGTTCTTATCGACTGTATAGTTGGTAATCTTTTCAAATGTCTCTAGAGGGTGACGTATAGTCGCCTAACATAAACAAACACAATATAAGATGTTGGGCAAGAAGAATAACATACGTTGTCATTTAAGAATGAGTAATGTGTGTACATTGCATGGAATCCCCCTTCTTATAACAATGTCCGTTTATTTAAAATGAACTTCCTGTAAAAACAGTAAGGTACAATATGTAGAAAAGATGTGCTCTTGCGGAGAGCCCCCCGTTTAATCACATTCACGTTTATTCACATTCCACTCCTGAATGATTTTCGTTTTTTATTGCATTTAAAATTGTTTTTGTTCACAACAGTTTGATGTTACATACCAAAAAATCCAAAAATATGAATAAATAAGAAATTATAAAATAAATACATGTAATATTAATAAAAATTTTAACATCAACTAAACATTTTACAATAAAAAAATATGTATATATATGCGCGATATAACAAATGATAATTTAAATAAAAGCAAACACAAAATTCATTGGAAGTGGAATGTGAATGACAGGGGAGGAGGGATGTCAACAAGCAACTGTGATGTAGAACCAGAACAGAATCAAGAAACATACATATTAATTATATTATAATTATGTATCTTCCTGCGTTGCAATCCCAAAGTACGACGTCTTTCAAATTACACAACAAACTGTTAAATAATAATAAATGAGAAAAGGTTCCACCTTTTTTTTAAAGTTAATTAAGTTATATCAATAATAAAACTGTTCCTTAATTATAAACATATAGTATATATTATAATATTCACTACAGGATTTTCTGATCTGGTATACTAGTATATATGTTACCAGTATTAACAAATTTGATTTAAAAAGTCTTATTTTCAAATTTTAAAATGACAATATTATTCTCTTTTAATAAATAACAGGCTATTCAAGTTAATTTATGTACGAGATAGTTCCATATTCAAATATATATATCAAGAGTCTGTTGAGCTATTTTGGTTGCAACATGTGCAGGTGAAGCCATTTTGCCAGATGTATAACAGATATTGCCCAGCAATAAAAGAGATTTTGTGGTATCTGTATCTATATTTTGCATAATTGTGCATAACAATACTTTGGGAGTGGCGTTTTCTTTCTAATGAATACAAAACATTTAACTTGTATTCATTGCAGTAGAAATATACTGTACAATGGATTTCAAAATGTCAGTACGCTGTAACTAGTGGAAATTTTGGTGTCAGGTCATTTCTCTCTAAAAATTTTTCTCTCCCAGGTTATTTCTCTCTCCTACCATTTCACGGTAGGTCATTTCACGGTAGGTCATTTCTCTCTCCTACCTGGGTCATTTTCACCCCATTTTAAATCTGGTATTATATATAATTTTTTACATTTCCATTCTTGTGTTATTAACTTTTGTCTCGTAAAATAAATTAATTTTATCAATTTATGACTAATAAAATTCGAACGAGAGAATGTTTATATAGATACAGATCAAACTCGAATCTTAGAAAAATAATACAAAAAATATTAATTTTGCTTTTATTGATTGATTTTGATTGGCGATACAAATACGTTGGAATAAAAAGTAAAACAGTTTTAAATTATGATATGTCAATTTTGATCTTAGGAGAAAAAAAGGGAGAAAATAGACATGATATAAAATAATAGCTGCAGAACTGTAGCTCTCCGAAAAGAAATATATTGACAGACCGGTTCAATACATTTTCTTTTTGGAAAACTACAGTTCTGCGGCTTAAAATAATAATTAAAAAAACAAAACAATGGATAATTCATAATATATATTATGAAAGCAGATACACAAGTAAAAGTGTGTAAATATTTACCTATTTATTTTGAATAATCGTATAAATAATAAGAACACGAAGAAAATAATGACATAAAAATGCTATCAATATGAAAAAACCTAAAAGCAATATTTCTAAGTTATACAAGATTAACAAAGTAGCCAAACCACATGAATTAATGGGAATGTAGCAACGGAAAAAAATCTCTTCAAAATGAATTATAAGACATCGAAAAGGAACTTACTCGGTGTGGCAATAGACACCTCCACAATTTCGCCGGAAATGGCTAGTAAATTTTAATACGTTTAAAGTACTAGTATATTACACCATTAAAACGATTCTTACATGTATGAATCTAATGTAAAAAAAAATATTTAAACCCACCTCCCTTTTTAATATAATGTAATCTGCTGTGTTTACCACAATATTTTATGAAATAGAGAATACATTATCAGGACTGTATAAAATGTTTTTCAGGACTTGTAATCTTGATACTCTCAGTAGATGTCAAATAATCTACTGTCTCTAAAAGTTTACATATT